ATAGAGTAACCTTACAACCTACGAGCTATGCCCCTGGAAGTAAGTCCTTGTTGTCAACCGTGAGTGCTACCAACTGTAGGGAGTTGATAACGCAGAGGAAATTGTAAAACTGATTGATTGGCGTTATCTACATCTACATGCATGACTACTGTGACTATACTATATCTAATGCTATATATACGTGCGCTCTGCAGAAGGAACTTCTGGTGTCCATGGCCGAGCACGCCGCACGCCAATCGAGCTTGGTCGTAAACTGACGTCAACAGTGACGTCTGTTCTGATTGGTCGATAACCCTATGACGCCACTGGAGTGACGTCGTTACAAAGGCCTTGACCAGGTCGTTGGCCGTCTTGGCCGTATCAGCCGACCACACCGCGTCTAAGAAGTACTGGCCCAAGAGATACCCCAGGGTGGATTTGGAGCTCGTCTGAGTCAGGCAGAACTTTTCACGAGAAGTTTCCTCCCTTTTGCCTTCGATCTTCTTGCCGAAGAAGTTCCAGTTGGCCGTGCGGAATTCAGGGGTCAAGTGGTTCGACGAGGCGTGGATGAGCTTGTACTCCACGATGGTGCGGAGGTTGTCCAGCGTTGTGTTCTTCAACAACACTTCGGCCTTGTCAAAGTAGGTCAAGTAGTAAAACCCCACCCAATCGTTCGACCCACCGCACTGGTCGCGTACGTTGAAGCCGTTGGCCTTGAGCCACGAGCCGATGAGCAGCGGGTACTTCTGGTCCAGTTGGTAAAACGTCAACGCAGTATACGGAGACACAACGGGCTCCATCTCCTCGAGCTCGCTGAGGTCGCCCTCAACACCGGCTAGACTTTTCTCGAAAAGGATGATCACCGGCACAGCAGCGGCCGCTTGCTCATCAGTGTAGCCAGCTAGCTTCAACACCGACGCAATGTACACCTTGTAGTCGGCTTCGACGGCCTTCCACTTGGAAGGGTTGGTGTAGTAATCGCGATCCAGCGACAGGGGGGCTCGGTAACCGAAGAGGACGTTCTTGGTCGCATCGTTGTCGTCAAAATTGGAGTTGATGTCCACGAACGCAGGGATGCCGTTCTTGGCCAATTTACCAGCCACGATGAGGAGGTCCAACGTGGTGTTGGCCGACCGAATGGCTTTGAACGAGTCCTCCAGCGGAGTCAGGCCCAGCGACGATAGCGTAGCCGTGTCCAAGCAGGAGTTGTAAAACTCACCTAGCTTGGGTTTGTAGTCAGACAAAATCGTCGTCAACACGGCTTCGTTTTCGCTGTAGATCTTGGAGTACGACGTATCGACTTGGTGTTCGTCTGGGGGGATCACAGCAGCTTTGTGCCAGGCACCACACGCATATTGGTAAAAGTCGTTGCAAGGGTTGATGGAGTAGTCGATGAGCTTGGTCACAGACTCGGGGAGTTCCGTGATGGAGCCAGCCGTAGCGGCAGCGGCCAACACGCTGAGGGAGATGAGGACTTTGACCATCGCAGGGCAAAATGGAAAATGAAGTTGGCCAAAAATGTCAACTATTGAAGGGAAGACCAGGCGTTGCATGTCGTGTAAAGTGTCAACCATTTAAGCGAAGACCAGACGTTGCAAGTCGTTCAACGCAATCAACCGGATTCCCATAACGAGATTCCTAAAACGAATTCTAGTATCATTGACGAAGGTGCATCAACGAATCTATCTCGATGAGATATTGAAGTCGGCATGTGGAAAATAGAGTACTCGTATACGTATAGTAGACCCATGCACTACAGTAGTTGTGATTGTGGAATATCATGAATAATTTCCTCATTAACAAAGTTTCACTGTTGTTTTGACCCGAAATACTATTTCAATGAATATACCACATCCGGATACACCTTTTCGCCGTAACCTGGGACTCCGTCCTACCCTCGGTGGGTACATACGATGCTAAATCTCCGGGGTTAACTGCATCGCTAGTGGTTAGCTATCGCTAACCACATAACGCCTACTAAGAGGTGAGGTGGTCTGACCATACAAAGTTCCATATAAACACTCATATTGCAGTGTGTTCTGAGATAAACAACAGGAGAACTGTTTTAATTAGGGAATTGTACGAATATCATTGATCAAGGTGATCCACAAATCTATCTCGATGATATATTGAAGTAATAGAGTACTCGTAGACCCATGCACTAGTTTTGATTGGCCTTCGTGGGGAATTAGTTCCAGTCGCATGGTGCCCTCCATCTATAAACTACTAGTACCCATCGGTCAATTTCCAACTGTAGTTAGCGTTAACGCCCTTTATGTAAAAAAACTCATATCATATTATACTAATGTACTACAGTAGTAGCAATACACGAAAACTTGAGGTTCGTGGCGTCGATCTTACAAATGGTGTGGATACAAGTTGAACAATCCAAGTGACACGTCGCTGATATGTAGTCCACCATGTCTATCAGTGTACACCGACGGTCACCAGATATGACACCTGTGACGATGAATGCTCCATGTTCAGCCCCATCATGACGACATTGCATGAATAAGATCCCTCAATTCCATTTCGCTGAGACTTGTCGCATCTGCTTTCATCGTGGAAAGAAGTGGACATCGACATATGCGTCTTCTGGTCGGACAAAGAGGTCTGTCAACTTCCGATACATGTACAAACTTCATCCTACTGATCTACCGGTACTATTAATACTAGTACTACGTAGTTTTTCCCTTTATCTGGGTATTTACCGATACTAGTACTACTGTAGTAGTTGACCCTTTGCGCAACAGTCACGCAAAGCCTGTAGAACTAATTATTATGCATTTTCTGAGTTTTCAAGTTTCGAAGTGTTCGAAGATCATGGTTAATTGAGTTTGGATTTCATTTATAAGACATTTCTCCGCGAGGGCCGATACTGGAACCACACCAGTATCGGCCCTCGCGGTGGAAACGCTTAGCCAATTATAACGCGCCTGCTCGACCAGGGGCGGTGTGTAATCTTCGATTTTTACTTCGCGCAACGCGCCGTGCTTCGACCGATCTTCTTCGAAGTTCGGTCCCCCTTGTTATCCGGATTCCCCAGGGAGGGACGAATAATTTCGGTCACTTACGGATAAAATCCGGTCGTCCGGAATTACCTGGCCTTCTTTTTCTGTAGACATCGGACTGTTCCTGCCCAATCGTAGGTCAGCTAAGCAGTCCGTTAATGATCACTTTTGGTTTTGTCCTCGACCACACAAGTGTTCTTCGTCGTCGTTCCTCCTCCGTGCTAACCCTTTCCTCGTCCCTCTTGACAGGTTATGAGGTTTCTCCCTTCCTCTGTGTAGCCATTCGTGGGCACCCCTCTCGATGACCTCCGACCTCTGGCCTACACGCTCAGGAAAACCGACTTTTTGTGCCAAGCCACGTCCCGCGACCTTCCCGAGTTCTACTCTTCACAGGACTATGTTCGTCAAGGAAATCGCATCGATGCACTCAATATCAGCAAGATGTACCTTGAGCTTGATCAAGTCGAGCTATACGTTGTGGGTCCAACTCTATCGGAGACCGATCGCGATGCGCGTCTCGCGGGAATCAAAACGCAAATGACTACCATCCAACGCCGGTGAGGCAACCAAGAAACTTGCGATTCAACGCTCTTCGGCGCACACATTCTCGGTTTCAACCATCTCTAGCTACCTTCGTCGCCTCAATCAGACCACTACGTGTCCGTTCGAGCTCTTTGAGCACATCAAGACTCGTTTCGTGTCCAACTCTATGGACAACAACCCTACCGTGGTAGCCCGTTATCTGCGCACTCTCAAGTTCACCGATGAGAGTTGCATTGACACTCTCTCCGTGGAAATCATTGACCTGGCCAAGCGCTACTGTGTGTCACCGATGAGAGTTGCATTGACACTCTCTCCGTGGTACTCATTGACCTGGCCAAGCGCTACTGTGTGTCTATGACTCCGCCGTCGTTCAATCCTCTGGATCCATCGGCCATCTCGTGGGTTGACTACCACAACCATATTTGAAACTACTACACTCTGTGTGCAATGTCCGACACCTTTATTGGTGACAAGGAATTGTAGAAGTCGTGACCAACTCTGTGGCCACTGCGCGCGCCGCCAACCATTCCGTCGTCGTCGCTGACGTTTGGGCCTCTGTTCGATGTATTATTACTAACTGCTTCCAACGAGCGTCTGCTCTGGGTGACAACCGCTCTGCCGCCATCATTCAAACACGAACCCAACTCGCAGCCGTCACGCATGCCGTTGCTGCCCCTGCACACACACCACACCCCAAGCAATTACGCAAGCCGATGGCTCAGTTCATGTTATGAACGCCTTTATCATCCCGAGCTATGCTCATTGTCATTGTGTCAATCAACCCGGCAAGTCCAGCTTCCACTGCGGCATTGCCAATCACACGCTTCCTGCGTGTCCTACTCTCAAGTCGGACTATGCCCACAACACTATGTGTCCTAGTTTTGACCGTACTGTCTTTGACAAGCATGGCTCTGCCTCCCAAAAGAAGCACAAACGCGATGGGTTAGTGGCAACCAGGGCTCTAGTAGCCAACATGGATGGGAACCAAGATCTTCTAGTGGTACTGGAAATGGCGGGTGGAACAACACTCGGGGCAACAGCCGGACAACAACCGTGACCGCGACCGCAGCCGTGACCGCCAACGCAACCAATGTTACGGCCGCACTCATCGTGGTGGTCGTAATGACCAGGTTGGCATTGCTGCTCGGGCAGCCGCTCGTCCATTTATTTATGAAGGCAATCGCCTCAATGGCTTTGCCAACACCCACATTTTATCCCACCACTTTGTGCCTCCCTCCACGCTCAACCGGGTCCTTCAGCGTCCCAACCCACCATCGGTTCTACCAAAGGTGTTCCGACCTGGCTCTGCCCCACTCTGTGATGTGTTTGCATCACCGCCCTTTGAACCTCCGCTTATTGTGGCTACAACCCTCGCTCCCCCGGTGCATCAGTGATGTCACTGATGCACCGGGCGGGCTCCCTGACCACTTCCCATCTCATGTGGATTCCGGTGACTTAGACTTCGCTGAAGTTCCTTCCGCTGAGGTACTTATTACACTCTGGTATTCGACTGTTTCTTAAGTTTAATGGATCTAATTGGTGCATTTGAAAGTCAGAGACTCAAGACGTTGTGGTCTATTGCCAGCGACAAGTATGCGTGGAAGCGGGAGATGATATGTTCTTTCAGGCCTGTGTAGCATTGACTAACATTCATATTAAATTTTTACCATCGCGAGAGGACGATGAACATGACCATAATAGGTATGTAAATCGTCTTCTTGCAATTGGGGAGCGGACCAAGGACAAACGTACTAATTCAGCCACGAAGTCTCGAGGCGCAAACAGCGTTTATCCCTTCTCCTACCTCCCGAGGACGTTGGCCATTACGGTTACGACAGTCCTGATGGCAGTGGGATTTTTGATTAGAGTATACAGCTGTAATATGCAATAATATTGTTGCTGGTGCTTAAAACGTTAACTTACAAAAATGCTCTGTACCATCGAAATCGGCGTTTACATTCCTTGTTTACTCGTTGACTTCCGAAATCAGTCAATCTCCCCTGTGTGACGAATGTATTCGGATTTTAGTACAGTGCGTCGTGAAAGTGGAGTATAGTTCTTGAAGTGCTCGGTCATTGGTCTAGTGGCATAATGTAATGAGTTTTATTAGTTAAAGCTCGCCACACATCATAGAATTACCTTACAAAGTAATGCAATTAGGTAAGAAATCGGATTTCTTCAATATTGACCATTGGAAATACCTCGATCTCCTTTTGGAAAACACTACATCACAAAAACATCTTACTTTTTTGGCGAACTGTTGGGTATTTGTCAGTTTGATTGCACTCTATTTGAATGGTGAGAATATGAAAAACTACTTTGTGTCTAGACAGTCATTCAGTCTCTGAGTTAGAGGTCAAATGAACCACGCAACTATTCTTGCGCTGGTGTTGCTTTGCATGGAAACCGTATGGTTGGTCACATACAATTCTTAAGATTAAAAACTATCCCATCAGATAGTTCGGTTAAATTGAGTTTGGATTATCATTTTTTCGGACATTCCTCCGCGAGGGCCGACACTAGAACCACATGTTATGAACCGCTTCGCCAATTTTAACTCGCCTGCCTGACCAGGGGCGTTGTGTAATCTTCGGTTTTTACTTCGCTCAACGCTTCATACCTCGTGCTTCGACCGATTTTCTTCGAAGTTCGGTCCTCGTCTTCGTATGCAGCCGTTGTGTATCCGGATTCCCCAGGGGAGGGACGGATAATTCCTTGCGGAAATAATCCGGAGAAGCCGGGGATCGAACCGACGATGCTCAAATTAGTTGCAAGCGATAGAGCTTTTCCCTCCCCTACAGTATTCGTTGGTGTCCGTGTGCTCACTGGGAGAGTTGTATGCGACGTGGTTTTTAGCAATGTCAATTGGTTACAATTTGGCCAATCCGAGACTATATATGTATTGTATTTTAATAAATCTGTCGATTTTTTATAACACCGGATGTTTTTGCTCACCTCCATTTTTTATGAAAATTTGTACTGTACTTCAAGTATGTGGTACCACTCTGATCCAATTCCAATGCAGTTACCAGGTAGTTCTGTGGACTCACCCAACAAACTTGACGCAATGAATTTTTTATTTACCTCTTTGTCGACAATAGTGAGGATAATCCTCACTCAGCCCGGCAGGATACAAAGTGCCGTTACTTTAATCAAGTTCAGCCAAAGTATCCTCACGCCACAGGAAAGCGGGTTGTGAGGATATTACTGAACTTATTCTGAACTCGTGAGTTGTTGATTGGTCATATTGTTTTTGATGTCTGAATAAAAATACAGCGGTACCCATGTCAAAATGACATCATTTGAGTGTCGTCGGCAAATGTATATACCATTGATTTGTGCACAGTTGTCAAATGTGCTCGTTCTGGAGCCGCGCATTGAAGGTGTCCAACGCACACAAAGACAACCCATTGACTTGTGTGAGTTTTGTACCATGGAAGCATTGGCTCGTTAGAGTAACCTCACCCCACAAGGAAGTAATTGTATAGTTTCTAGTACCATGGTAGTACAGTAATTGGTCCAGATATCACGCTAGTATATTATTAATAGTATGATACTTTCATTTGTCAAGGTATTCATATCGTGTCTGAGCGGTCTAGGTGTCCACCGTAGGGTTGATACCCAGTATTCGTGAGTTCAAACCTCACCAGAACAATTCCTTTTTTCAGTTTGGCAAGGTTCATCATACATTCTAATATACTAAAAATACTATCAAAACGTATAAGTATTTTGGCCGAGCGGGCAGTGTACCTATCGTAAGGCAATATATTGTCCCGCGTGAGTTCAAATCTCACTCTTTCCATCTATATTTGACTTTTTTTTGCAATTTGGACAAATCAAATCAACAAGTTGCTCCACCGTTCTGCATTATTCCTCGTATTGAATCTCAAGTAGAGTTCGCGGACGAATTATGTAGTCATGTCTTCTATTACTCTCAAGCACAGGCCAAGAGGATCTATGTATATCTAAAGAAGGATGTAATTTTTATCGGGCAACGGAGGGGGGTAGCGCGGTGGGTAAGGCAATCGAGGCGGACTGATGATCAAGGTTGAAGTGTCGCTTGCGTTATCGTCGTTATCAGATTGTACATCAGCGGCCGGCACTTGACTTGCAATTAGGGCATGCAAACCAACCGGGGTGTGCCCATCGTTTCCAAAACTTCCACGCGCTTGGTCGTTTTCGTGCGGCGACACTAAATCTACTACTCAACCTCAGTTTTAAATTCGTCGGCTGCAGGAGCACTACGCTTGTTCTCGAACGCTCGTACGCAACGAGACTTGAAATTCGCGGGGATGTTGGCGCCACAGTGCCAGGTGTCGAAGCAGGACTTGAGGCCGCGGCTCCGTCAAGCGTCCGGCGGCGGGTCGCTTTTTTTGCACCTAATACGTAACGGTGGGCGTCCTGAAGGAACCTACGGGTTCGCTTCTTCCATGCATGCCAAACGACACCGGGATTATGTGCTGTTCGAATGTCGTTGAGTAGCCGTGTCGCCTCAGTTGCGATGGCTTCGCGCACTTGGGAAACGTCACTACTTCTATTTCCGTCTGGAGGTAGTACATGTTCTCTGAATCGATGTGAGGGCTAACGTAGATGGCCAGTTTATGGTGCACGGGACAGTTTAAAGTGCATTTAAAATGGCCAATGGAAGTGCTTAATATTTGGATGAGCCAATCGAATCACTAGAAAAATGAAATCACCAAAATTTAAGCAAAAACAGCATACTCGGAGTACATATTTACATATTTTAAGCTTAAACCGTGCACCATAAACCGCCCCTCCTTTTGCCTTTACTTGGGTGGTAATCGAAGTAAATGAACGCTAAGCTGAAGTCTATTCACATTGTCAACCCGATTTAATACACAGAAGAATGCCCAACCTTTCGGCTTCATGCAGCACTTTTCATAATTAAATCGCAGTCCTGAGAGACGAGTAAACTGCATTCTACGACGAGGTCGCTTTCAAGTGCACCATGAATCGGCCATCTACGTTAGATCGAAGTTCCCACTATTACATGCTACCAGTAGTGAATATAGCCGATGTGCATGGGCGTCGTACGTATTCCATACGTAGTGTACTACACCTTTTCCCGATCAAGTTGGCACTTTGTTCCAATCAAAGTGGCCATAAAAAATAAAAAAAAATCGAAACAAACAAAATTGTTACTAAAAACGTGCAATGTTCCATTCAATTTGGTTTTTGTTCCAATCCATGTGGCGCAACTACGTTCCATAGGACATATTCTCCAAATTCAACGCCTTCTCGACATTGCGTTGGCAAAACATCGCTTCGCGAATCACTAAAGATTGAGTGATGCAGGGGAGGCTTTCCGTGGCAGCTTCTTCGAGCAGTCGCATGCGGCTTTCAAGGTACGAATGAAACTCCCTACGAGCGAAGAGTAAGTTCGTCCGCTCGGCAAGAAAGCGCTTAATATGTGCTTTCAGCACACTGAAGCAACTTTCAATGGGATTCAACATTGGAGAGTAGGGACCGAGACGCAGCAAAGTCATGTCCTCGTGCGCCGCAACACGATGCTCCGTTTGAGAGTGCGCCGGGGCATTGTCCAAAACAATCACG